GATTGAACTACTTGTATACATAAAGTGTACATTTTTGATTCACACATTTTTATGTATAAAAAATTTAACAGTTGATTGAAAAAGGTAATGTGAAATCAATGTTTTAAAATCTATCTGCTAATGAAAATCATTATGTCAATATTTATGTAACGACGTACGAATACATAATACTAATAAATGGAATAAAAATTGGATTTGTTATTTTATTATTTTAATTTACTATAATATTCGAGTACTGAATAGCTTTCAAAATATAATGATATTAGTTTATATGAAATATTTTTTCAAAAAGTAACATGTTTCATTAACCCTTTCGATTTCATTCCAATTCTATTTCTTGTGTTAAGTTCTCAAATTCATTAATACAGGTAAATGAGTCCTCGTTTAACCTCCATTATTTAGTATTATAATTTTGGTATAATATTTTTTGGAGAATAGATAGTTGAAAAAAAGGAACAATTTTCGATTTACGTGTTATATTATTTTATCAAAAACTATTTAGTTGAAAAGAAGAGAGGGAAACATGCATTATAATTTAAAGATTAATGCTGGTCAGCCAGGGTCGGTGATCGACCAGGATCCAGGGGGTTGAGATGTCACCTTAGCCCCTGATTTCAAAATAAAAAGGGTCCCACATGAATTCAAATCAAAGGCCGAGGTGCATCCACCTCTGGCCTTTGAATTTGGCCCTGGATGAACAGCATTGCTCTAATTTTAATAGGGACCAAACGGGGGTGAAGTATCTAACAATGCAACTTCTTAATTTATATTTGTTTAATATCTAAATTCTCCGTAATCTATTCTAAAACAATATATTGATGCCATTGAGTTGCATTTTTCAAGTTTAACTAAATGCGGCAATTTATATCAACTGCTTAACTATTGGTTTGACTGGGTTTTTTAAAAACACGTTCCAATATTATTTATATTTTCTTTATATTTTGAGAGGTTGAAAATGCTACCTTCGAAAGGATGAACGAAATTCAAACCCCTTACTAATCTAAAATTACATCTATGTAATGGATCATTTCATCTAAGTTTATAAGCAATACCATATTACAGGCCTAAATTGAATATGACTTTGATATAGTATGGTGAAATTCTCAATAATAAGGCACACTGGTTGGTGTGTTGCACTAGCCATTGTTAAAAATAAAAGATAAAAATTTCATGTTAAATCTTTTTTTTTTGGGTATTATACTCGAGAATTGATCGATTTATTTTGGTATTAGAATCAAGAATTAGATCGAAATCAATCCATTCTCAATTTAATACCTAGAACATACTAGAACTTGAGTATAACCGGAGTAAACCGCAATGCTAATCTGATTCTAGTTAAATTCAATGATTTTGATAACTTTTGTCCATCTCTACTTGTCATTCACGTATTGAACTATTACTACAATTTTTTTTATTTTTTTTCCTGTCAAAATGCACTTAGAATCACAGATATTATGATAATAATTAGACGTTAATCAATGGCTTGTTATGTGAGAATATATATTGATAAAATATGAGGGTTGGACGGAAAATATTAATAAGACGAATAAAGGACTTTAAGATAATAATATATTCGTGTTCTAAAAATATGCTCAGGCGCCGCCGCCTAGTTGCGAGGTGTGAGAGGCGAGACGAAATACCTTGCCTTGACAATGAGCTTAAAATTAATGTGCGACTATGTGCGTTTGAGAGCTCTTTATTAATTTTTTTTTTATTATTTTTGACCTTTTTAAAAGTATTTTATTTTACTTTAGTTTAAAGTTTTTCCTTTAAAAAATGTATGATTGACTAATTCTAGGAATTAGTAAGTATAGTATTTTATAATTTTAGATATTTCGTACATATTATTTTATTTAATTATTAAACGATTTATAGAATGATTAAAATTTTAAAATAATATTAAAAATAAGAAAACTTTTTTTCTTCTTTTTTTACGGCTAGTACTTATCTAAACTCATAAAGCTTGAAATTTGACCTTCAAGCTAGTCATATTTTACGTTTTTTAGAACATTGCAGTATATACTAATGATTGAAAGTGATACCGAGTGCAATAAATTAAGAGTACAACGATTTTAGATAGTCAAAACATGTTTGGAATGACCTAAAAAGTCACTTCATCGTAAGAGAGATGCTATCTCAATAAGGTCAAATTGACACGAGAGAGACGATAATTATTCTAGGAAGCTATATGGTGTGTACCTTTATAATAGATTTTCATATTTCTTAAAATACAACAAAAAATAAGGAGAAAATAAAAAAGTGAAATGTCATGTGAATTTGCTCGGAAAGCATATACACTCAAAGAAATTCCTTTCAGAGTGACTATTGATTTCTGGCCTTTTACTTGATGAAATGTTGGATTGGACAATTTCCTTTGACTTGTGCATTTTAATGCCCTTGGTCATTTTTCCATCATCGACCAAACTAATCTTGCAAAACTCCGGTGCATGCTTATGAACGTATTCTCCTTTACCTTGTCCCCTTCTAGATAACCTAAAATCAAATAAAGTGTGTTGACAAGACTGAACATGATAAAGACAAAGGTAAACTTTGATATGTATATCCAATTCGGTTCAGCTCGATTGATGTGCATATTAATAGTGTAAACCACTATAACTCGTGAGTGTTTCTGTTTTAATTTTGTCTATTACAGCTTAATACCTAAGACTCGATGTTAGAAGAAAGATACCATGTCCATATCTTGCATTAGGGTGAACCGCTATAACTCAGTGTACTTTTATTTTTGCTTGTTAATTAGTCCTCTCCATTGGAATAAGTTTTCATGTCTCACATTAGGGTAAATTATCATAAATCTTAGTGTTTCCGTTTTCGTTCCGTTCATTATTGCTCATGAAATTGGAATTAGGGCCTATCTCGAAAATACGATACGAAAGAAGGGGTTACCTTGTGAAAGGTGATTGTTTGATTCCTATAACAAGATTGGTAATGCTAACAACATGAATCAGATCAAGAATTGCCTTGGCTGCTGCATTGCTCTCCACAAGCATTGTTTCTACTTCTACCTGCGAACAAAATATCAAAAAATTCATTCTTTGCGTTTGAATGCTTCGAATTGAATACTTTAAATTGGAATTTGTCGACAAATCTACTCGAATTTCATATGGAACAGTTTCTATACGTACTTTTCTGTCGTTACATAGACGAATATATTTTTCCAAGAGATTCATCCTCCTGTTACTCTCCTCATTGACATAAGCCTGCACTTGCTCTTTGCTCAATTGGCTCTTTGATAGCATTCCCACTGCACAAGAAATTCCAGGCCATAAAACGTCTCACAGAGTCAAAGAACTTATCCAGTTGGCCCCAATTTGAAGAGCCATATACTGTAAAGATATGGCTTTCGGTAAGTTAGAATGTACAGTAGTTGACGGTACGTAGAAAAAATAAGTTTAAGTATTTGTCCATTATACTGTTTAATCATGTCAAATACGGCATGTCAAAGATCATACATTCCACTTATCAATTTTTATGGACTCAAGCTAAACAATCTATTTTTTGTTTGAGAATGATCAGATCAAACAAGAAATAAGATCATCGACTCATGATCTGATCCACAATCATAGTGCATGTCTGTTGTATAAAGTATTAGATATGACTAGGCATTAAAATAAATAAGATTTTAGCCCTTTTCCATTCATAATACTTTCTGGCTATCCAATCCTCCTTACCAAACATGTTCTTCAAGAAAATATAACAAGAAAACAGAAGAGCAGTAAGAACTTTACCTGGAGTAGGGATGTAAGTAATAGGATGGAAAACATGCACAAGGAAAACGCGATTTTTCCCTGGAGAAACAGCATGATCAAGTGCCCATTTAACAACATGCAAATCATTTTTCCCAACAGCAACATAAACATCATTAAAACCTCCATCCATGCTCATGCTTTCCTCTCCAACCTCGACTATCTCAGGCGATCCGACTTGCCAATTACGAGGATACGACCCCTCTTCTGCAGCCATTGGAGTTCGTCCTAATTCCATCAGAAGAGAAAGAGGACAAATTTGATACATAAGAAGTGAAACAAATGAAAGGAAGTTAGTTTTTTCCAATGCCATTAAAGAAGAGAAAATGAAAAAGTTAGATTCTCTTTTGTCGATAAAGATTCTCTTTTGTCCATATTTGCAGGCATTTTGGTCATGTCACATAATGTTATCTATGCTCTTTGATATAACAGAAGATATCATTTTTCTTTCCCTTTTCTCCGTAGCCACACGCAAACCCCCATTAGCCCTCTTTTGGATTGACTTTACTAGAAGATAAGACCATTTTGCGAGTATGATCTTCCACACATCTAAATGGTGGTTAATCCATGATTTTCGACCACACTTGTGCATTATTCGGTACGCAGTACTATATACGATTTGTAAGAACCGTATAAATTTTAGCTTTTTTCATTTTTCGATACTGTATAATCTACGTTACAAAACTAATCATGAAAGTTTTTAGCTAAAAGCCCATCTTAACAATGACTTTTTAGCTAAAAGTATTATGACCTCATACGCCAATGATAAATGGCTAAGATTTGTCTTAATTCGGTTCAAAATAATTGTTTACTTCAAGAAGTTTGAAATGAATTGAGTTAAACTAGTTTTATCGTTGGTGTATTGTTGTTCTGAACCTACTACTTCTCATTAATTTATCATGGATTTAGTATGAATTGATGACAAGATTGTTCAATCTATATGTAGAAACCGAAAAGAAAAAAAGAGGAGGAGGAGGAAAAGAACTCGAATGGGCCACTTGAACTATATCTTTCCTTTTGAAGGAGTTTCTTAATTGTTCCTTGGAGACTTGTTCTTCAAATGTTGTCTTCAGCCAATTGGCACTATATGCTTTTCCCTAAAAGATTTTTGCACCTAAACTTTTGGCAGCCTTTGGCCAAGATTGTGGTATGGGCAAAAGGTTGCAACACTTTTAGATAGATATTTTTAAATGTGAACAAAGTAATATGTTATAATATTTCCTACGTAAAGAAGAAAAAAAATGTAAAAATCTTTGATATATGTATAAAGTTAAGAACTAATACACGATTGGTGGATTAGGATGGAGAAAAGTCGAGCCAAAAACATCTAGATTGTAAATGAACAAATCAACTGGGATATTTAATTACAATGTGGAAAGTTCGGGTGTCTGAGGTAAAAATTGTTCGAGTATAATCTCATAAACAAATGAATGAGTAAAATAAAAGTGCTTAATATGTGCATAGGTTAGCTTTACCTTTTAGACCAGGTTAACAATCATATGCAATATACAATGTGCTAACTAAAATCACCAATAATTGCGTGGATTAATCAATAAATAGTTTCAAACACTAATTTATGAGGACAAAATTCCTCTCAATGCTAACATGTGGCACAACTTTGCTTTTATCAATCCCATCTGAATTCAAAAAGAATTCATTCTAGGCACATAATATATGTCTAAAAGTTTCGTAACTCGATCATAGACGATGAATTTATCCAAAAAAAATCCGACTTAACCTTCAGATTAATAAAATCCGGAAGCAAGTTGGTATACAGACCCATAATGCAAACTAAAACTGTCCATTGTTACATCAAGAACCTGTGTACTTACACAAGAAAATAAATGCTTTTGCTCTATTAGTCGTATCCGATCTCCCCCACAATGGGAAATGCACTACAAAAATGTTGGACCATAAGTGATAGTGGCTTAGTGGGTGGTGGACCATAAAAGCACTACAAAAATGTTGGACTATTTGTCCCACACGATATTGATTATGAACCATTTTGGCAGGGCTTGTTTTTACTTTTTGCAAGAGAGCTTTCAGAAAAATTCACTTTGAAACCAATTTTCTCTTAAAGCTCTTCTAATAAAACGACATATTTTCAGAAAAGTATTCAAAAATGTCTCAGAAGTTGCTTCTTAGTTTCAGTGTTTGTTTTATACGGCTTATTTGAAGATCGTCTTCAACCATACATTTTCTCGATAAAATGATTTTGCCATTGGACCCTTTTTAACAACAAATTCTTCAAAAAATTGTTTTTTACTTTATAATAGAAATCAAAAGTAGCAATAGAATGTAAAATTTTAAAAAAAGAAACAGATAACAAAACATAGTAATATATGGTCACATATGCGTGATAAGGTGCAATATTAGATTATGTTTTGTTTCGTTCTTATCCATTATCATTAGTCTCATAAAAATCACAGTCCAAATGTCTATGATGTAGGAAATGAATTCATAAAGTATGAAAATGGAGAAATCACAAGTAACATTAAACATTGGTTCAGACAGAATGGTGGGGATGCCCAATGAAGTGATCTTAATGGAACTAGTGGTTCTAAAATCTCGCCTAAGTACTATATAAAGGAACCCTCTTAATGCATAGACTCAGAGTATTCATCTAACAAGATTTTTTCTATGTTATATGAAGATTTTGAGGTCCAGTCTTGAGGCAAAAAGTTTAGGTCGAAAATGGTGAAAGTGTTTCTTGTCATATTGAAACTTCTGCTGATTCTAATATCTGCCGGTTGGATATCTCTTTGGCTTCTTAAGCCGACAGAAGTCTGGACGAGAAAATGGAAGGGAGCAGAAGAAAAAGCCACCGCTACCGTGTTGGGTTATAACGGTAACCCACTCTATCAAAGATCTTTACTTCTCTATAATACACTGTAAACTCCACCAAAATTCTCCTTTTCATTCACATAAAAGTAGTCAAGAAGAGTTTAAATCCAGCACTATGTCTTCATAAATCATCATGTAATTGATTTGAAGGTCCAACGGTTGATAAAATATATACAAATAAAGAGAAACTAAGCACCGTTTCTTAGCTTATGTTACACAACACATGGCACATCAATTGATGAGTACATAAGTTTATGGAAAGTTTCGGAAATTAAATTAGATTTGATGAATTCATATGTCGTGTCACTGTTGCTTAATACAAGTTAAAGTAATGGTGCTTGATAGATCATTCCTCTATAAACAAACCTCCCCCTGTATAATAAATTTAACTTTTAGGAGAGGTGCTTTAGCATGGTATGCAAAGGCCCGGGTGGTTCAAGTCTAACTGCCACCCGTTTATTTAAATTCCACGAATCAGAGCTTTGTTAAGAAAATGAATGTAACATGCACGTGATGAGGCGTGTTGAACTAATAAAATAAATAAATTCGTTTTTCTGTCTAACATTAAGATGACACAACGCTAAACAACAGCTAGAAGAAAAAAGGTTTTTGGTGTGAAATATTAATATTGCTTTGGTACAGGTCTTGATTTTGCTGTCTACACATTTCCTATAATTGCTTTGGGTATATTTGGTTTCATTTACTTGGAACTGAAACCAAAGGAACCAAAAATAAGGTACAAAACTGTTTCCATTCCATAAAACACACCTTTTGTTTACTTGATGCTGATGCATATGTATATTTGGACACAGGCCAGGAAGAAGTTCAATCACTGCTCTCTCCAATCCGCTTATTATCAATCGTTATCTAGGAATCTTATCTGCAATCGAGATCCTTGCTTCTTCTCTGTTTATCATCTTTCTAATTTGGACCTTCTATGCCCGCATTTCAAATGATTTCAGAAAGATGATACCAGTCAAATCATTCAAATTGACTCCGTAAGTTAATTCTCAATCAACGATGACTCCAAACCTCGAAAAGAAGTATAAAAATATGTAAAATCAACTTCTTTACCTGCTTTTCAGATGGCAGTACAAAATGTTCAGGATGGCTACCCGGTGTGGTTTGCTGGCAGAAGCTTGCTTAGCACTGATTCTTCTACCCATATTGAGGGGGATGTCTATATTTCAGCTACTTGGCATCCAGTTCGAGGCATCAGTGACATACCACATTTGCTTAGGCACAGCCATGATATTTTTCGCAACTTTACATGGGGCAGGAACCCTTTTTATCTGGGGAATTAAACATAGAATTCAAGATGAGGTAAACTTCACAAAACTTCTTTAATTCTCAGTACTTGCTTCAATACAAGCATCATATTTTACCTCAAGTCCTTAATGTCGGAAACCAGATGTGGAAGTGGCAAAAGACAGGCCGCATATACCTTGCTGGTGAGATAACCCTTATCACAGGTTTAGTCATTTGGATCACAGCATTGCCACAGATAAGAAGGAAGTGGTTTCAGACCTTCTACTACTCACACCATCTTTATATAGTCTTCCTGGTATTCTTTTTGTTCCACGGTGGAGACCGACATTTTTATATGGTTTTTCCTGGAGTTTTTCTCTTTGCCCTGGATAAGCTGCTCCGAATCATCCAGTCGAGGCCAGAGACATGCCTTCTTTCTGCTCGAGTCTTCGCAAGCAAAGCCATTGAACTGACTTTGCCGAAAGACCCAAGTATACCTTTATATCCTCTTTGACCCCAACCCAAGTATCTAAAGTATATCGTCTTTTATTAAAACGATGTATCTAATCTTAGAATTAACTCGTAACTTTATACCTATGATTTCAGGGTTGAAGTACACACCTACAAGCGTGATTTTTGTGAAGATACCAAGTATTTCAAAGTTCCAATGGCATCCTTTTAGCATAACTTCTAGCTCCTGTGTCGATGAACACACTATCTCGATCATTATCAAATGTGAGGGACAATGGACAAGTTCCCTCTATAATCAAATTCATGTTGAAAAAGATTCAGAATCTGATTTAAGGAAGTGCATTCCGATTGCAACAGAAGGTCCTTATGGACCTGCCTCACTGGATTTCCTAAGGTATCAATATGATTTACAGAACATTTTGGAATTGTTGTCAGATTATCTGTATATAAACGCAGCAACCTCATAACTTTTTTTGGATCATTGAAAATTAATGCAGGTACGACCATCTGCTTCTAGTCGCTGGAGGAATTGGGCTAACACCATTTCTGAGCATTTTGCAAGAAATTGGCTCCAAACTTAACAATAGCAGAAATAAATATCCCTCTCGAATACAATTCATCTACACTGTAAAAAATTCTCAAGAAGTTTGCTTGTTAGATCCAATTCTACCTCAGCTTCTAGACGTTGAACAATATCATATAAGACTTAAAGTATTTGTGACTCGGCAAAACCAGCCTAGTACAACACTAAGAGAAGTACTTAAAGACTTAACTGACTTGCAAATAACAAATTTTAGCACCACTCATTCAAGCTATGCAATATATGGACCTGAGAGTTTTCCTTGGATGGCTACCATAGCCATGTTTTCTTCCATCATATTTCTACTCTTGCTTAGTTTTTTCAACCATTTCGTTGTGCCCCCTGCCAAGAAGCCCTCTCAACAGAGAAATCCCTCTTCTCAGATGGATCTCCTTCTCTTATGTTCTTTTTTCGTAGCAGTCATATTTGGTGGCTTGGTGGTTATTATTATAAGATGGAAAAGGCTAAGGAAGGGATTTCCATTATTTTCCAATAAACAAAGACAACCCATGAAACAAAGATCACTTGAAGTCAACAAAGGTCTTGAAGAACATGAAATCCATTTTGGAAGAAGGCCAAACTTTCCAGGTAGCATTTTGCTTTTCTTTACTACCAAAAATTTCTTATCCTGCAGATACTAATCTGAATCATGCTCCAACTGTGCTGCGAACCTAACAGATATATTCTCCAATTTCACAAATGAATGCGGGGTATCAGAGATAGGCGTCTTGGTTTGTGGACCGGAAACAATGAAACAGAACGTGGCTTCAGCATGCAAACTAAAGCCTCGGAAAACAAATTTCTGTTTTCACTCCCTCAACTTCTCACTCTGATTAAATTATACAAGGCACATAGGTTTACAACTGTTACTGAGAGTACTATAGTTTAATTTTGTTTATGAATCATGCCAGCATATGTATATATTACCGTAAGAAATCCAACGCGTAAAGTTGGTTCTTTCCACTACAAGAATCCTTATCGTTTAGATTAAAGTACTTTGAAAGATATCATCAAGTTCCTTTCGGTAGATAAGGTGGCAAAGATCGTTGTCTAATGTCATAAATTCAATAAAGAATAATACATTTCTTTAAACTTTTCATAAATCGACATTATAGAACAATAAAATAGCAAGATGTATTGAACAAATTATCTTATCATATTCCACCACACTCGTCAAAACTGTGAACATTCAATTTCCATACGCCTCCAAGATAGAAAATTACATCAATTAAAAGACGGCTATAACAAAATAATAATAAAAAACCAATATTCACACCTGCACTTGTGAAGGGGACACCTCTCCTTGTTCTTCATTCTCATCACCTTCGGAGGAATTCACATTGCTTTCTATGGGTATCAATTCAGATAACAAATCTTTTGGTGCTACTGAAACACTGTCATCTATCAAGTAGCATTTTTGATCAATTTAACAATCACCTCCCTCATTGTAGGTCGACGGAGAGGGTCCGGGTGACAACAAATTCAAGCCCAGTTTCAATACCGTCTCCATCTCCTCCACTTCATACTGTCCCTTAATCCTATCAT